TGTGTCTGAACTTGATGTATTATGTGTGTCAATTGTGTTACGTCAGTCAAGAAAAGAGATTAGATTAGGACATTTGGATAAGGGATTTAATTCCCAATTGATTCGAGATAACATCAGATAAATAAACTGGCAGTTAGAGTCCACAGTGGTGCTTTTAAAATTATTTAAATTATTTAGGACGGGGACGGTAATCCCTAGGAGCGCAGATTGCTCAGCGTGTGGCAGCGACTCCCCATCGTGGACGCGCAGTGGGGCCCATGGGCATACGGATTAGCTCGTGTAGTTCCCGCAGGATTTCGGGAACCCGTTAAAAGCTAAGTGGTCAAGGATCACTTCTTTACTGCGCTGTTTGAGCAACAAAGCGGGACTTAGGCGTGATCATTTCAACGTGGCTGACAGGTAAAACTTTAAGTAAAGCTTTAAGGCGCCAGTGGGATACTGAGACGCTGATGAAGTGGAGCTTCCAAGCAAGCTGCGGGGAGTGCTTTTAAATTAATATGGGGCCTAGAAATTTGACCACAATCGGTGACGGCATTCCCGAAGTGGGTAAAATTGACCAGCAAGGTGGGCGAACCTGGGCCTAAGAGGCTTTTAAATTATTCGAAATTATAGGAACGCTGGTACCGGGGAAGAATATGTGATATTGAAATGTTGAATACTGAGTAATGGAAATGGAAATAATTTATCTTGGCAGTTGGTGTCTTTTGTTATACATATAAATGTGTGAATCTATAAATGAAGTGTAAAATTGTTTTTTTGGATGAATGATCAAAAGTGCACATTGTTTTGAAAGTGTGAGACAAAAGGGTGTGACGTGTGTGTGTGAGACAATTTTTATACAGAGCTGAGCTAAACGAACGGTGATGTGTGTGGAAAAACTGTTAATTGTGCTGAAGATTTGTGCCAAAAGAGTTCTGATAACCACGCTGAGGGTTTTGATGTGAATGCTTGCAAATGCAAAAAGCTGAGTATATTTGTCTGTGTGTGGGTGTGCTGAGGGTGCATTCTTTTTTATATTAGAAGTAGTAGAGTTACAGAGGGGATATAGAGTGTGAACATAAAAACAAGAGTTTGATTAGGGTGAAGAAACTTAGGAAATGCAGTGAAATGAAGACTGTGTGTGTGTGTATGAAAACTGCCGTGTGTGTGTGTGTGTTTGGGTGCATTACAGGAAGTGAACATGTCTGCATGCACATAAAAGGAAATTGGCTGATGTGTGTAGTGTGCAACGAGTAAGAGAGAGACGTGTTCAAATCTAGATAGAAGAATTAGAGAATGGAAGTGTTAAGAAATAGTAATGAAAATGATATTAAATAAATGTTTTAGTGTGTTAATACAGGTGCCCATGGACTTGGCTCAAC